TCAGGCTTGTTTGAAACGTACAGGTAAGTTTGTTGGAGCAGGGTTGGAACTAAACTGTGCAGGGCTTCGGCCCTCCAGGAATTGAGTTTGACACCCCTGGAATTGTTTCTGTAGTAAATATACAGCTGACTGGGTAAGTGCTCTATGGGGATTTCTAAGTAGGCGGAAGTAACGATACACTGCGTGGAGTGAAACCGTAAACCGCGTGACGTCATGTGAAAAGGGTCTGCACTTTGTGCAGTTTTTTATTTGTAAAAAAAAAAAAAGTATCTCTTGTATAATTTAATTTCTTCATCACAATTGTATGCAAATTTATGTTAGTATTTCACATAACGTTCAAATAGAATATATTTATGTTTGTGGTCATAATGGGAGAAAATGTGGATAAGGGGCATGAATACTTTTGCAAGCCATTGTATCAGTAGTTACGTTTCCACCCACCTATTTTTATGCGCTTAAAAAATGTTTAATGGAAACGCCAAGATATACATTTTTAGAAAATGGCATAAAATAAAGACAAACTTTATATTCAATAAGATAACTATGACGGAAGCACTTTTACCGAACAAATTCCAGTATTCGCATTAAAAAGGTCATGTGATTTTGTTATAAGGGATTATGTGATGATACAAATGTGTGAATGGACAAACCAGCAGGTTAAGCATATTGTAAAACATCTGAAATGTTGATTTGGTCATTCTAAAATGCTTTAACCATTTCAGTATTAGTGTTACTTTATTATAAGAACTGTCAAGAGCATCGGCTCTGCATCTTTACGCCTCCAAATGCCACCATGTGTTCATTGCACATCGCCATTGTCTTTTGGGGGTCAAGTAAATTATTAAATAAATAAAAGATTCACGCAACTTCTCCTACCACAGCAAATTCGTTTTTTTACTGTTGATATTTGGCGCCAGATAATCAGGAAGTGACGATTTTGTTCTCTTTGACTCATTGGACAAAAAAACAGCTTTATTTGCAGGTCCTTTATGCGTTTTTTATGTTTTGTGTATAAATTTAATGAGCAGTTTCGATGGAAACATAGCTAGGGATTGAGCATGTACATTTAATAATGTTAAAGAGGTTTAATATGTATTAATTAGATTATAAACCTTACCATTTCATTGGAGTGCAGTGAGTGCACTATTACAGTATGTGCTTCCGAATGGCTGTATTTAAATTTGTTTGGGCCAAATTGCTTATCACTGCAAATCTAGCCATATAGCGTGTTGTTAGGACACGGGGTAACAATATAACCTGCTCACCTAATGTTTACACCCATAATAAATATATTATTTGATTATTCATTAATAACCACCTCATGTGGAACTCTGAATCTGTGTCTCATTTTGGAGTCTGCTACTGTTCAGCGGAGGTCGCATATCGGTCATGGGCACATAGTTTAAGAGCCTTCCTGACTGAATGAGTTAAATAAGCATTTTCCCCCCAAGGCAACCCAGGGAGTTGAAATATAGTTGGCTAAACTGGCATTGGGCGGGTTAAAGGGACCAAAACGAAGACATTTTAAAAGCAGAATATTTGACTTCAGCATTGTTTTTCAGATAAACAAGAATGTTCGCTTAGATTTCTTAAATATCTGCAAATATATTATGGTTATTTTATGCATTTGAAGAGTCAAAAATTTACATACAGCACCTCAGAGTGGATGAAAACATCCAAAACAGCACACAAGGGTTAAACAGTCAGTATCAGTCTTTCATTCAGTTATTTATTTAACAGATTGTAAAAACATTTCAAGCAAATTGTGACAATGATACTGTTATATGTATGTTTTATTACATTACATTTCTTTACCTCTTTACATAGATTAAATAGAGTGGTAGAAACCAAGAAAAGGCAGGTTTGCTGGTGAAGAGGTGGTGCAAGCGAATAGCTACCTCACGAGCAAATACTGTACATGTCCAAAGCAGGTAATAAAAGTGTTTGCATTGTTCTTGAATTTTTTTTAGGTCTTAAACTTATTGTTTGTTTGTTATAGAATGGGTGGACATGCTTACATTGCATGCAATGTGGTGAAACGACAAAAAAAAAATCCTTTCTACATAGGTCACTTTCCACAAGATTTGTGAAGGTATGTTTCTTATGTGTTCTTTTGTGGTGTGAACTTGGCCTGCTGTTATCTGTACGTTTCTACCTGATTTGTGCATAACACTGTTTATGAGACTTGTCAGAGACTCCAGGAAGAAAGTGGAAGGCTAGCTGAATTAAAAAAAGACTTGCATTGCACAGATGAAGTGGTGTTACGGTCATGGCCAACTGGTGGTAAGCATAAAAGTACATTTGATCAAAGAATACAAATTCACAACATTAAAATGGTTGTGTTGTTTTACGTCTACAAGGATGCCAGATTCATCTCATGGCAATCAAGACACCCCAAACAGAAGACATAAGCAGTCATTTGGCAGCAGCAGCAAACCCTGTGCTGGCAAAATGGTATATAACATAATATAATATAATATAATATAATACAATATAATACAATATAATATAATATGAATTGGGGTCAGCACGATGGCTCAGTCAGCACTGTCACCCCAGAGCAAGAAGCGTGCAGGTTCAAGTCCTGGCTGGGCCAGCTGGCATTTCTGTGTGGAATTTGCATGTTCTCCCAGTGTTCACGTGGGTTTCCTCCAGGTGCTACGGTTTCCACCACAGTCCAAAGACATGCGGCTATAGGTGAATTGAATAAACTAAATTAACTGTAGTGAATGAGTGTGTGTGTAAATGGGTGAGTGTATGGGTGTTTCCCAGCATGGTGCTGTGTTGCGGCTGGAAGGGAAGCTTTTTTACAGTGCATTTGTTCTTAAATGCTAAAAATTTCATCACATGTATGCTTGTACATCAAACACCTTCAGATCAGTAGCGTTAAATCCAGCTAATCTTTGTTAAATCTACAAACGTTGTCATTTCTTGTTCCTGGATGATCTCATTTGAAACACACAGTAATCAGCAGTAATCAGCATTTAAAAAATAGAAGAAGCACTTATTTTTGACAAATGTGACTTTATTTCAAACTTTAGTACAAAATTCATCATTGTCATCAGTTGTGAGGCTTGTCGCCCCAGACTAATGTCAGTTTTTGTCCGTGTTCAGCTCAGCACCACCTTTAAGATGGGCAGTTTCCAGTGGCACCACGTGGAGGAACGGACATCGCCACCTATATATACAGGGTTTGGATTATCACTCACCATAAACTACAACTACACACAAAATCACTAGTCAATAAATGATGTCCTCCAACCATAAATCATATACCACATTAGCAAAACATTAGACTAGAGAAGGTTGTATATGAGGACAATATTAAAGCAAATAGTAAAGGTAGTAACTTTATTCATCTTCAGAACACAAATGAAGATATCTGAATGAAAATAATGAAGATATTTTAGTTAAATCTGAGAGCTCCTTAATCTCTCATAGACAGCAAGATTCCTGACTATGAGAATACTTTTATGTGCACATAAAACAAAAATAACTTTATTCAACAGTTTCTTCCTTCAGTGTCAGTATAGGGCGCGCGTTCACGTGTTGCGCCTCTGACATATAACCTTGGATGTGCCTGTGAAGTTTTTAAGAGAGGAAGTCAGAGAGGAAGTCGTGCAGGCATCCGTGGGGTATATGTCACAGCACAGGGCTTGTGAACACGTGCCCTATAATCACACTGAGGAGAAGAAACTGTGAATAAAAATGTTTGCTTTATGTGAAGGCGTATGATCTGTTTTGAGGATGTTTTTTACTGTTTTTGTGGACTTTGAGTCTGGATGAGGGAGCTCTAACATAAAAATAAAAATAGTTAAAATAGTTCTGATGATGAACATGAGGATGAGTAATAAATAACATAACTTACTTTTTTAATGTTTTATTTAAAGAAATTTTGTTTCTAGAAGAATTTCTGATTGGTCAATAACATAACATAAATATATAAAGTTTTAGATTTTTATTTCAATGTAGGCAGGTTTTATAGTTTTATTTATTAATGGTGTTTTTTATTTTATTTTTTTTACTTTTTTATTGTTTTATTTATTAATTATGTTTTTTATTTTTTTTTTCACTTTTTATAGTTTTATTTATTAATGGTGTTTTATATTTTATCAGGAGTCTCTCTCCTCTGGCTCAAATTACATTTCTTAGAGAGAGACACTCAAAATATATGGGCCTGAACTGGGAACGACACATAAAACAAAAATAAATTTATTCAACAGTTTCTTCCCTCAGTGTCAGTATAGGGCGGGCGTTCACGTGTTGCGCCTCTGACATATAACCTTGGATGTGCCTGTGAAGTTTTTAAGAGAGGAAGTCAGAGAGGAAGTCGCACAGGCATCCGTGGGGTATATGTCACTGCACAGTGCTTGTGAACGCGTGCCCTATAATCACACTGAGGAGAAGAAACTGTGAATGAAAATGTTTAATATTTTTTACTTTTTTATAGTTTTATTTATTAATGATGTTTTTTTTATTTTATTATCTTTTACTTTTGATTGTTTTCTTTATTATGTTTTTTTATTTATTTATTTTTTTTACTTTTTTATTAATGATTTTTATTTTTATTATTATTTACTTTTTATTGTTTTAATTAATAATATTTTTTTTTATATTATTATTTTTTACTTTGTATTGTTTTATTTATTAATGATGTTTTTTTATTTTAATTTTTTTTTACTTTTTTATTGTTTTATTTTATTAATTGTTTTTCCAGTTTTTTTCAAATTGGCTGGTGAGTGATAATGTTCATTGGAAACCCTGTATATATATCAGTTGATCCCAGTAGTCTTTGGTCAGGAGTCTCTCTCCTTTGGCTCAAATTACATTCTTAGAGAGAGACACCCAAAATATGTGGACCTGGACTGGGAACGACTGAGATATTTATTTTTATTAATTATTTTTTTAGACATTTGTTTTAGCATGTGGAAGTGCAAGAGTTAAAGCAAAAGCTGACATTAAAGGATGTACACTATATGAAAGTCTAAACTGTTAAGTGCTTTATCTTTTTTTTTTTTTTTTTACATGGAATTTAACAGCTTTCAGTTATAGGACTATGGTGTGGCTGGAATGACTAGATCTACCCATTAAATTAGGATATTTCTACTCATTCCTCCTTGTCCTCCATCTGAAACAAAAACACAGATCAATTTTACAGCTTAAATAAACAAACAACATGTGGTAAAAAGAGAAGCAATATGTCCAAATATAAATGAAAGAACATAAGATATAGCTTGGTTTCCATCAGCCTGTGTTAAAATGAGTAATAGAAATCAGTTTTAAATATCAATTAATTTGCAAAAAAATAAATACTGTTAATGCTCACTTGAGGTGGTGTGTGTGCAAAAAACTAATGCTGAAAATGGGAGATGGAGACACATTTGCTGAATAAACTAACATAGTGAACATTACACAAACATGACTTCATTATACTTGTCTTGCTTAGTATTAATTACTAGGTAACCAAAACTACAGTCAGCTGCTCTAACAGCTTGATGGAAATGCACCTAATTAACATCACATTAGGATGGAAACCCGGCTTATGACAGTGTAAGATGGCTGATGTCAAAATGTATGTGATACCTTAAACCACTCATGGGAATTGAGCTTTTGCAGGTCAAGTCGATCCATTTGGTTCAGCTGCAGACAGCCGTGGAAGAAATCGCAGCATTCTATGCAGGCAGAAGAAAGAGATACATGTAATTATTACGTTTATACATGCTTTTTACAACCATTTTTAGCTTAAATGAAGATCTCACCTTTCGACAAGCCATTAATTGGCATGTTTTTGTTATTCATTTTGGGAATGTCTAGTTTTTCTGGAAATCTTTTGAAAATCAGCACAAACAGAACAACTCCAAGTGACCAGACTGTCGCTGGCTCCCCACGGTATCTGCCAATCATCCAAAACTCAGGAGGGGCGAACTCTCTGGTGCCTGAAAGACAATTTGTTTCCAACAACAGAACAGATAAACAACAGCAAATGTTTCAAGACTCACATAAAAAAAAACCTTGACTCATTACCAGAGTTTAAGACCCTTTGTACAGCTTTAAAGGATGAACATACCTCTAAAGGTTTTGTAAATGTCCTCAGTAAGGAGGTCACCGCACCCGAAGTCAATCAGTTTGACCTCAAGGGTGTCCGGGTTAATTAGCAAGTTCTCCAGCTTAATATCGCGGTGAAAAACTCCACGCTGACAGCATGTTTGGGCTGCAATTATTGTCTGGAGCATGATTTTCCGTAACTTGTCCTCTGGAATGATGCCTCTGTGCTCATTTTGGAAATCGAACAAGCTCACGCAGGGTATGGGCCGCTCTAGCACCATAAAGTAGTGATCAGCCTCAACCTTCCAGTCCAGAAGCTCGATAATTTCCTTGACCTTGGGGCCTTTATTGGCCAGAAAGTGCAGAGCAATCTCCAGTGGAAGTGGTTCATCAAACCCATCCTAGAAGAAAGACAGTTGTGAAGATCATTTGGAAAGGGTATTTTCAGTAAACAAGTCCTGAATAAACTGTTGGCAATGTCTATCACAAAACTCATTTATAGTCTACGATTAATGTTAATATGACAAGAAAACTGTAAATGAGTGCAAAAAGCACAGAATACTTACAACACTGATCAATTGCTTCTTCTTAAAATCGGACACTTTTACTGCCACTTGAAGGCCATCTTCTAATCGGGACCCTTCGTAAACGGTTCCACAGCCTCCTTTATCCAGCTCAGCGCCAATTTCATAGCCTTGTGAATTGATCTCTGAAAAGACAAACAAGAGATGTTGATAACAATCAGAAATCAGTAACAGTACCACAGTACCTCCATCTCAAACGTTTCCTCTTTCATATATAAACTGAGATACTACACTGAATATTTGTCCCTTTAAAAGTTCATTAAAAAACTATTCAGTGTAAAATATTCAGCCTTAAAGGTAAAGTTCACTCAAAAATGAACATTTACTCAATATTATCCCATCCTCAAGTAGTTTCAAACATTTATGAGTTTCTTTGCTCTGTTAACTAAAGAAGACATTTTAAACTGAAAACCTGTAACCACCGTCTTCCATAGTGGGAAAAACAAATACTGTGAAAGTCAATAGTTGCAGGTTTTAAGCTTTCTTCAAAATATATAATATTATGTTCAACAGAAGACAGAACCTAAAACAGGTTCAGAAAAAGTAAAGTGTGAGTAAATGATGACAGTTCCAGTTATGGGTGAACTATCCCTTTAAATATGAATACAGTATATATTAAAGCTTCATAAATAGGTACAATTTTAACTATTCCTGAAGAAAATGCAAACTAAAGTCTGTTTAAAGCATAAAGCACCATTAAAATATGCATGTGTGTTGGATGACTTTAGGGTCATGGTAGTAAACTTACCAATGATTTGTGTCTCTTTGTCTTCTGTCTGACAGGTTGCATCTTGAACGGCGTGGGAGCCGGGCTCATCAGAGAAATCAAATGAAGGATCATCATCCCCACAGCCAGACTCAGCAGAGAAAAATTCTTCACTGTGAACACTGTCAGGCTCTACCAGTGATGGTTGCTCACTGTGAACACTGTCAGGCTCTACCAGTGATGGTTGCTCACTGTGAACACTGTCAGGCTCTACCAGTGATGGTTCTTCACTGTGAATACTGACAGACTCTACCAGTGATGGTTCTTCACTGTGAACACTGTCAGGCTCTACCAGTGATGTTTGCTCACTGTGAACACTGTCAGGCTCTACCAGCGATGGTTGCTCACTGTGAACACTGTCAGGCTCTACCAGCGATGGCTCTTCACTGCGAACACTGTCAGGCTCTACCAGTGATGGTTCTTTACACCAATCATCGATTTCTTGACCTAAAGAAAGGATAAAAAAAAAAAAACAGGATATTAGTTTTTAGATTTTAAAATTTAGATTAAAATTCTGTTTACTTATTATTTATGAGGCATAATGATAAATGTGTAAATTACAAAGTGACCTTTCAGGTCATTGTTGTATACTTTTTTTGGTTACAACAGACGTGTCAAACTCAAATCTCATTGTTTGAGGGGTTTAATGTTTATGTCATATTTCTGGATGGCGATAATTAGACAATATTTTGAGTGTGTTGTGTGCTTGTACTTTGGCTGGTTTAGAGATGTCATGGATTGACCTAAATAAAAACTTAAAACCCCCAGCAGGTGGAGACATGTTCTAATGTTTATTGTCTATTTTATAGTTTATATTGTTTATAGTTCATTGACTATTTAATTGATTTCTTCCTGAACTACAAGTGTTAAGTTTCCCCAAAAATTATTTATTTTTTGTTATTAATTACTTACTAGGCATGGGCCGGTATAAGATTCTGACGGTATGATAACCTTGGATAAAAATATCACGGTTTCACACTATTGTGATTATTGCTCTAAAATATATAGTTTTTAAATGTCTGGGTAAAAAACAACACATTTTGCCCTTTGAAAACAATTTATTTGACTTTTTGAAAGATTTTAAATATTTTGGAGCAGTAAACATGTCAGGCTAAATAATTAAAAACATTGTTTCAAAAACAGATTTTTTTTACAATTTAAAAAGACATCTATGTATATAAAACTAAAAACAGGTAAATAAAAAATCTTACACGTATCTTAGGAATGGTATTACAAAAAATTTAGCTGGTTTTAAAACCTTGACTTTTCCTAACCATGGTATACCTTGAAAATGGTTAAGATATTTTAGGTGAAATGATTTTTGGTTTCTTTCATGTCTTTAAACGAGCTGTCTCTTGCTATATATGAAGGTTGAGAGAGCTCTCTGACTAGGCATGGGCCGGTATAAGATTCTGATGGTATGATAACCTTGGATAAAAATATTTTCACGGTATCACATTATTGTGTTTATTACTCTAAAATATATTCTCTTCAAATGTCTGGGTAACAAACAACTTTTTTTCTCTTTTGAGCAAAATATTTTTTATTTTGAGAAACATTTAAAATATTTTGGAGCAGTAAACATGTAGGGCTAAATGACTTATAGACTTCTGCTGTCTTCATTTGTTTCAAACACAGATTTCTTTACAATTTAAAACAAATTTTTTGGATATTGTTTTCTGCTGAAGATACTGTTGTCTTAAAAAAAAACGTAAAAGAATAGCACACATACCTTAGGAACGGTATTACAGAAAATGTTGACGGTTTTAAAACCTTGATTTTTCCAAAACCGTGGTATACCTTAACTGTCTCTGACCACCTTAAATATCTTAAATTGTGTTCTGAAGGTCTCAGGGTTTGGATTAATTGTTTTGGTGAACTAAACCTTTCATTTTGAAGCAAAAAAAAAGTAATATTTATGTAATACAAATAGAAATTTGTGTGTCGAATGTTTGACACCCCTGTGTATAAGCCAATTCAATGATAAATAATTAACCATATTTACTTTGTTTAGTAATGTTTCCATTTAGTAAGCTAAAAATACCAGTAAACTCCAGTTAAGAAAATTAGGCAGATGTGTTACATAAAAAAGACAAATCGTTTACCGTCACTGCTCCTCAAGGGTGGCACATCATGTTGGTCCTCTTCTTGAACTTCAACACCAACAGTGGCGTTGGTGTTTCTCTCTCCGAGGAAGAGAGCGATGAGTCCGAGTACGGTAAACAACATGATAGTTTAATTTTCGTACACTTAAAGATGAGAAATGTTAAATAAACCTACAATAAATACTGAAATTTACTGTAAGTGAAGTTAGTTTATCAGAGTAAGCCTTAATAAACCGTACGCTATCAATTGACAGTATTTGCAACGCAAATTACTCAGAGCAAATGTACAACTTCTCTGTAGCTGTCCAATTAAAGCAATGGCGAAAAGTAGCCGAGTTTGCTCTTACGTCACGATCGAATTGGGATTCCAAACGAGTTTGCTGTTACGTCACGATCAAACTGGCGTTTCATAGTCAGGTGGTATGTTATTGGTCTGTTTCGCGACGTGGGCGGAGCTTCTGCGTAGCCGCTAAAAAATGGCGTTTGTGTTTACTTCACGGCTTCTGGAGCAAAATAAAATTAGTAAACATTTTCTTTTGAAGAGTCATTACTGTGCGTAAAATTTGTTTGTTGTTTGCCAGTGTTTTTTTCCATCAAAGTCCATTAAAATCGTTCACAGGTAAGATATGTCTTATATTAGCATTCATTTTTACTTTAAATGTAAGTCGTCGGCGGTAAACGCTTGTTTAACACATTAAAACGCGAGATATGATCGTAAATATCGAATTAAATCATTTGATCTGCTCTTATCAAACCTCATTTACACTGCAAAATACAGTCGCTGAGGTAACGGTTAACGATAATGCTGGGATTAACGTTAATAAAATGGCGGCATGTGTTAATGAGCGATAATCATTCATTCAAATACAAGAATTAACGTTACTGTAGCTGTGTCTAAATCTGCTTAATCATTAACTAATTTCACTAATGCTTGTTCCAGCAAATAGGAAACAAAAAAGTTTGTTCTGTTATTGGAAAACAAAGATACCCATGGAGGACGAAATCTACAAAAACTGAAAATGAATAGCTAAATAAATTCAATTTATAATTTATTAATAGTGCGGGCAGCTAAATAATTTAACAAATTACACGAATGTTGGGGGAATAAGAAAATGCCGATCTGAAATGCCCCTCCCACAAATGTATTTTTATTTTTAACGTAGTTATATATTCGCTTTTTCTCAGATTATGGAGAGCTTGTAATGTTTAATTATCTTTAGGCTAATAATAAAATAAAACGACAAATTTAACACATTTATTTGTAATAGCATAAATATATTAATTTATTAACAATATATGAATAACTATAAGAATCTACCCAGGTGTTTGAAGGACACTGCATGTTGGAAAATGTGAATAAATGTTCTTTTTTAAAACTATACACTTTTTAATTTTTTTGTAAAATTTACTGAAAAATGCAGGAAATGCCAATACAAACTGGTCAAAAAAGGCACTTATCTAGTATAAGTAGAACCAATTAGAGTCTCTGCACAGGTCTGAGTGTCTGTAAATCCTTTTAGTAATATTAAACATGGCTGTTCTTGGTTTAATAGTATGCAGAGGAATTATGCATGGAGTATGTGATGCGACTGAGAGTTATAAGGATGTAGAGAGCAGATTCTTGCATGTTTGTTAATGGATTTTTCTGAAAATTCACTGGATTACAGTGGTTATGATATGGATTGATTTTATTTTAATATGTTTCTAGGTGTTCACATAAACATTTTTTTGGCCCAAAAAGTGTATAAGGCCAAGCATATATGAGTAAATCCTCTTTTAAAAGTATGAAATTCTAGTTGTCTAATTAAATAATAAGCATGTGTATTGCAGAAATTTTATTAACACTTTTATTAATACGTTAACAAAAGAGTATGCTCACAACATGTTTTTCCTTTGGTTTAGTTTCTATGTCAGAGGCCACCACAGTGGAATGTACCGCCAACTATTCCAGCTTATGTTTTACGCAGCAGATGCCCCTACAGCTGCAACTCAGTAGTAAGAAACACCCATACACACTCATACTGTACACTATGGCCAATTTAGTTAAGCCAATTCACCTATAGCACTTGTCTTTGGTCAGTGGGGGAAACCGGAGCACTTGGAGGAAACTCACACCAACACGAGGAGAACATGTAAACTCCACACAGAAATGCCAACTGACCTAGTCGGGACTTGAACCTGTGATCTTTTTGCTCTAATGACATATATGGAGTAATAAAATAATACTCTCAAATTGAGTGATGTATTGCAATAATAATTGCACCCTACAATGTTTAATTTAAATACATTTTGCATGCATGATGTCCATGAATTTTCCTGTTAATTATATAATATAATAGTATTTTAATAAATTAAAAGAGTTCCAGTTTTGCCAATAACACAGATTTACAGAAGTATCTATATTTATATAATCAATATAAAGCAGTCATTCACAGTTAATCAGCAGTCTGAGATGTTTTAACCGTCTGTTTATTTCTGATGCTGGGATTCTCCTGATGTTTGACACAGATGACCTGTTTAAAGTTTCTCTCTTTGTTCTGTTTTTTTGCAGACTCAAGCGTATGGAGAACATTAGAAACTGGACACATATACCACATCCACAGCAGACATCTTCAGTGATTTTCATTGCTTGTATTTATTTTCAGAGGAAATGCAGGTAAAAAAAACAACTATTATTCATCTTAGAGTGTGATCTTGATAAACATTAAAGCATTTCACTTTATTAACACTCCTGATAACTCTGACTGTGGCTAATAAAATGAGTAACACATCAAATCAAAAACCAGATTTTTTTGTATTTCCATTGCTATGACTGAACTTTTAAATAGATTTACATTTAGCAGAGGATTTTATCCAAAGCATGAAGATAACAGAAGCACTCCGGATCACCAGAAAACAAGATGTAGATGCAGTGACAAGTCTTAGTAATTTTAGTGTGTGTATTTTTCTTATTATTTAAAAATAAACAAAGAATCAGGACAAACAAATAGTTAAATAATGCAATAGGGAGTGCTGTTGTCGATAATTAGGTGCTGGTGAAACAGATCAGATTGTCTTCAGACATTTCTTAAAAATGACCAGAGACTTAGGTAGAGTTAGGTAAGTCATTCCAGCAGGACGGCACATTAAAGGTAAAAGTTCTCGCAATTGATTTTGTACACTTTTAAACCATAAGCCTAAAATAGTGTGTTCAGGTAAAGGGGTGCAAATAGTGGACAGCTAATGCTTTACAATCATTGAGTCTCATTCACTAAACATACACACAATTTCATGCATAACATAGACATTTAAAATAGATGAATAAATCATGATTAATCAAAAACAAAATGTATAAACAAAAAGATCAAGAACTTACACCACACACGCAATAATCATATATGACTGGGGCCTTAAAAGCATGTATAAAGATTTTAGTATGTCTATCGTCTTGGTTTCACATTATCAAGTACATTTTACATGGCCTGATGTGCTGAAATTTCTTTCAGAGGTTGTGCTAGTGGCAGACAAACAAAGATACTTTAGTTTTAAATCACTCATTATTGCGAATCATTGCAATATCGATATGCACATTTATAATATTTATATTTCACATCACATGTGCAGATGTACATATATGTGAATGTAAATAAAATTTCTCATGTCATGATCAACGCTTACCACTTATCTTTAGTCATTGTGTTAGTGGTGTGAATGGTCTTTTAGTCAGACTATACAAATTATCTTGATTAATAACATGAAGGAATAAGTTTTGTGACTTTATTACAAAATGTAGTACAAAATTCATAATTTTCATCAGTTGTGAGGATTGTCACCCTAGGCTGATGTCTGTTTTTGTCTGTGTTTAGCTCAGCACAACCTTCAGGATGGGCAGTTCTCAGTGGCACCACCTGGAGGATCGGACCTCACGACCTTTATATACAGGGTTTGACATTCTCATTTACTATGAAATCATCTTTATCAACAAACAAATTGTAGAAAGGTTCTTTGTTGTGGGAAGAAGAAGACAGGGTCGGCGTTAAAGTAAGTGATAATTTATTTATTCTTACTGTCCTCCAACTTTAAACCACATTAGCAAAACATTAGACTAAAGAAGGTGGTACATGAACTCTATTAAAGCAAATAATAAAGGGTTAGTTCACCTAAAAATGAAGAGTGTGTCATTATTAATTACTTGCTGTTGTTCCAAACCCCTTAAGACGTTAATATGTCTTCAGAACACAAATTTAGATATTTTTAGTGAAATCTTGAAATCTCCATATTCAAGGTTCTCAATTTGTTTATTGTCCTGAAAAACACCAACAAAACATCCTTAAAACAGACCATGTGTGTCTTCAGTGGTTCAATCCGAATTTTCTAAAGCTTAAGAGAGTACTATTCTGTAGGGGTGTAACGATACACTCAGCTCACGATACGATGTGTATCACGATATAATGTTCACGATTCGATATGTATCACGATTTTTGGAATAAAAATTAAAAATTAGACTGAAATGCAAATTTTACCAAGTAAACTATTTTTATGTATTTCTTTTGTTTCAACTTGTTAAACTGAACCTTCTTTAAGAAAATAAATTAAACAGGCCTGTCTCTGGAAAATAAAACAATTTAAAAACTTCTTAAAAATATTATTGAAATGACAGACAGACATTGCTTTAGACTCGTCCGCTTTTTGACACGCATACTGGGACAAACATAGCCTAAGTTTTAGTCTTCACAGTGATTTACATACTTTGCACAGCGACATGGAGACCTTCTAATGGTGTTGAAAGAGTCACATACTGTATTTGTAAGGTACAATTCACCCTAAAATATCATTCTGTCTTCATATAATGATGTATTGGCGGACACAAAATCACACATGACGTGAGCTGACCGCGAGCTGTTACTACAGAGGGCGGACTATGATAGACGCACGCACGCGCATCTGCTTCAGTGAACACAACCTGCAGGTTTTGACTAACAGGTAATAAAGTAGTAAACAACATTCAGTTTGTGGAACAGAGTGATCGTTCAGGAGCCACGTGGGAAGTATGAACAGCGGTTGAAATGAAACCGAAAGCGTGCACATTATTTAAATAATCATATCGCATTTTAGAGTTATGATTACGACGAGCATGAACTCTTTTAAGTACAGAGGTACACAAAAATGCACGTCAACATGATACACTTGATAGCGCTGACATCAGCAACGCCGAAGAAATAGTAAACCTGCCTAAACTGCTGAAAAGAGCCATGACTGTCCTGTGTAATGAAAAGACGGCCACCCTGTCACTCATCATGCCCAACATGAAGACAGCCATCCATAAAAACCTCTCAGATAGATACACATAAGTTCAGGATTATTTTAAAGAACTGCTGATTACCTGGAAATGTAGAAATTTAAAAAAAAAAATTTTCACACACAAAAAAAGCAAGTGACCAAGCAAAGCCTTAAGCTCTTACTGTTAAATTCAATTGAATTGAATCATTTCAATAATATTTTATAAGAAGTTTTTAAATTGTTTTATTTTCCAGAGACAGTCCTGTTTAATTTATTTTTTTTAAAAAGGTTCAGTTTAACAAGTTGAAACAAAAGAAATGCCTAAAAAATAGTTTACTTTGTAATTAAATTTTTTTAAATAAAATTTGCATTTCAGTTTAATTTTCAATTTTTATTCCAAATATTGTGATACATATCGAATCATGAACATTATATCGTGATACACATTGTATCGTGAGCTGAGTGTATCGTTCCACCCCTAATATATATAAATATATATATATATATATATATATATATATATATATATATATATATATATATATATATATATATATATATATACATACATACACACACACACACAGACCAAAGCCTCCTTTCCCCAGCTCAGTGCCAATTCTGTGGCACTGTGAATTGATCTGCATGAAAAGATAAATAAGAGATACTGATAAAAATTGTGAATTAGTGACAGTTCTACTTTCATCTATAACTATTTAAAACATCTTGTGACATGTGAATTAGTATGAATTAATTTGAACATGTGAATTAGCATGAAATAAAAGGAACAAACCCCCAAAAATTGAAATTTTACTCACTATTTACTTTAAATGGTTCTAAACCTTTATGAGTTTCTTTATTCTGTTGAGGACAAAATAAAATATTTTGAAGAAAGCTAAAAAGCTGTAATAATTTTCTTCCAAAGTTGGAAAAACAAATATTAAGAAAATCAATGGTCACAGGTGTCTTCAAGATATCTTCTGTTATATTCAACAGAAGAAAGAAACTCACAAAGGTTTGAAACATGTAAAAAGTGAGTAAAGGATGACAGAATGTCAAGTTTTTAGTGAAAACTGTGAAGTGATCCCTTTAAACATGATTACAAATATAAAAAATCTTGATTAAAAAGGTACATTTCCATCTTAGTTATCAGCTATTCTGGAGCAAAATGCATATTAAAGTCAGTTTAAATAAAAAAAAAAGTTATAAATCATAAAATCACTATTAAATATACATGTGTGTTAGATGACTATACGCTCATGGTAGTAAACTTACCAATGTTTTGTGTCCTCTTTATTCTTCAGCTCTCTTGGCTGAGCTGAAACACCGCTCTCTGTCTGACAGAATGCACCTTGAGAGCCATCATCTCTACATCCGGGCGCAGCAGAGACAACATTTGGAGGGGGGGTCATCACCACAGCCTCACTCAGAAGAAAAGAAGCTGCTGAAGGAGTTGGTTGTGAACTCACTACTACAGTTGGACCCGGCTGAGTAAAACTCATGAGGGAAGTCATCACTGCTGCTGGACTCAGAGTAGAAAATGTTTGGAGGAACATCATCACTGCTGGAGGAGCTGGCTGTGAGGTAACCACTATAGTTGGATCTGTATGTATACTTAGATTTCCGCTCCAGTATGTTAGTTAAGCAGGGCTTAAAGTATTCTGGCACCATGTCGGATCTCCGGCGTGTGGCCGTGAGAGAGAAAAAAAAATATTTTAGAGCTTGCGCATGCGGTTTAAATGGGGATGCTCAAAATAACCGATTAACCGTTAACCGAAAGGGTGTGTTTGTAACCAAATAATGGTATCAGTTATACGATTAAAAATATACTTAATATGTTTTTAAAGTTTGGCTGCATAAGGGGCATCCGTTGAATGGTTTACTGACGGCCGCCAATGTTTTTACACTCTGCTTATGCACCCTGCACTTCTCAAGTCTTACCATTGTGTGTGTGCTCGAGCAGAAAAAGCATTTTATTTCAATCGCGTCTTTTTCATTCTTTAGTCAAATGAAAGCACTGCAGGGTTTCTGTTGAGGTGACAGCGGGGTTTGGGTCGTCAAGGCGACTATGGCAAACTTTTAATGATGGAGGAGAGACATGTGGTCGTTGTTTCAAGTTATCCAGAGCTGCATTTACAGATCTTGAATATCACAATTTTATTAAAATTACAATTATAACATTGACAGCAACTCGACTCGCGTACACCAGCTGATTCCGTCGTTTTCTAGTGACATACAAAAGAGCGCCGGGCTTCTTTTTTTCTTGTCAGCATAAAGGCAGTGTGGTGCGCCTCGCGTTTTTGGAATGGAAAGGCGTGTTCTTTGTAAATGGCCCCTAAATGTACAACAAATATTTGTTAACTCTCGGGATGGTAACACATGCAAACACACGTGTCTACAGACGTATTTTGCCAAAGAAGCAAAATGAAAGAAGGATATTTCTGGTCACAGTTTCACACAGATTAGATGACATTAACCAGCGCTGATGCTGATCACCTCTGTGCTGTCTGGAGCCACTACATAAACTTAAAAATAAGGCTGTTGAGGATTTAGAGTGGGCTACAACTAATAAACAAACCTTTTTTTATTTGGAAAGTTACAGTTATTAATAGTTCTTATACAATGTCAGCTTTTAAAATAGCCTACAATCTACGAATCAAACAAGTCTAAAGATTTTCTTGATTTTTGTATAATGATAACTCCGCACCAAATTGAGGCTTTCATTTTATAGCTTATAAAACATGTATGAAAATTTAAGCAATATCATATGTAAGGGCTGTGATGGTCACCGTGACACCGGGGCGGTAGTATGTGACGACAAGCACTCTAGAACACACATTTTCTGTTATGTTGCCAAGCACTATATTTATAAATATAACCTTAACTTAGACGTGATACAGCAAGTTCAAGTTCAGCCATGAACCTCGTTGGAAAACTTATATTATATAATAATAATAATTAATAATTCATTTTATTTGTAAATGGCGCCTTTCTAGAAACCCAAGGACGCCTTACAATAAGCATCAGCAGACATGCTAAACAAATTAAACATTACTAAAAACAATCATTGACCAAACAAGTTAAAACACAATAGCGAATATAAAAGAACATAATAAAAACATGATAAAAAAAATTGTTAAGTAAAAGCCTGCTTAAAAAGATGGGTCTTTAGACGTGATTTAAAATTGTGAAGACTATCACAGCTCCTAAGATCTAGTGGAAGTGAGTTCCATAGTCGAGGAGCCATAGAGCTAAAAGATCTGTCTCCCATTGTGCTCAATCGAGTGCGAGGTGGTACCAGGGTGAAGATGTTTGCTGATCTAAGGGTACAAGAAGGGGTGTAGATATAGAGAAGTTCAGTGAGATATTGAGGAGCGAGATTATGAAGTGCCTTGAAAGTTAGAAGTAATATTTTAAAATTAATTCGACACTTTACTGGAAGCCAATGAAGCTGATAGAGGAGTGGTGTGACTTGCTCGTGAGATGGTGACGTGAAGTAACTAATGCGTGGATAAGAATGGCTGTGTTATTAGTTGTGAGAGAAGGGCGGAGAAGAGTGATATTACGCAGGTGGAAATATGCAGTATGTGTAATATTATTAATGTGATATTAATATAGCCAATCTGGAAACGTTTGGGATTCGTGGCGTAGAGAAAGGCGAACCAATAATTAGTATGAGGCTATTTGTAGGGCTTGTTTAGAAAAAAAGAGTTAAATGGACAAACGCGTCAAATCTCCAGAGCCATCTGCTGTCATGTCACCCAGCCATGACATGCAGAGCCAGCTCCGGTGTCATCTTTTGAACCCTAACACCCAGCTAGTCAGCCAGGTATGGCAGAGGCCTTTTCAAAAATGGCCAAATACAAAAGAGAAACTGATAAATAGTATATGTTGATGAGAAATGGAGTGGCATATTTGGTAGTTGAGAATTGGTAGCTTTCCGTTTAAATGTGGACTGCAGAGCAAGAGACCCTTTCTTTGCCACGGTTGCGAAAAAGTATCTGCATTTGCGCTACAGGCACACCGTCTGAACGTGTATTCAGTGCTTCTGGTAACATTGTAATTTCAATTAGGCCTCCGCTTAAACTTTAAAATATGAATAGAAAACAAAAGGCAGAGAAACGCTGTTTTTTTCAACATCTGACTTGTATTGTTACAAGCCTAATAGGCTAATATTTTTGTTCTTGTTCTTCGTCCTATTTACTATTTTTATTATTATTGATTAGTATAGTGTCATTTTAGGCTATTTGTGAAGTTTTTAAAATGTAATGTTTACTGTTTCAAGTAGTTATAGTTATTTAGCTAATATTTAACTAGCCTATATTATTATAGGCTGTATTGTGTTGTTTTATCAATAAAAGTTAAACAATAAACACGTGCATTTTTACGGATATTTAGCATAATACTTTGGTCTTTTTTATTTCTTAAAGGGCACATTGGTTACCCCTTTTTTCATATTTATTATAAGTCTTTGGTGTCCCCAGAATGTGTCTGTAAAGTTTCAGCTCGCACAGACACACACGCACGCACATACATAGCGTAGACACGCAGACACACACACATACATAGCACAGACTTGTAGCGCAGGCACACACACACACACACACATACATAGCGTAGACACACACACACACACACACATACATAGCGCAGACAGACACCTACAGAGAGACAGCGAGAGAGACACACGGCTGTGCTGATGAAGTGAATCGCTGTACTTCATTATACACGTGCACACGTTTTAAAACATGTTAACCTTGTAAAACTCACTCTTGATCACGTCTGATGATGATTGATGATCCTAACAAACTGAACAGACCTTTTATTCCCAGTTGCTTTGCGCTCGTCCTGTCTTGTCGAAATGATTTTATGCATTACTACGGAGACATGTTAATGCGCACAGCTGTCAATCAATATTGGTGGGCAGGTGAACCGCACTCCTACGTAAAGTTGCGGTCGATCTTAAAACCACTCCAATTTGTCCACCGTTTTTATGTTGTTAAATTTGAAAAAAAAAAGGACTGGGTGTGTTTATTTCACCTCAATATGACAGTATATACACTATACTTACACACATGTATGTCCAAACAGCTTAAAAAGTAGATTTTTCACCATAGGTGCCCTTTAATTTTTACGTAAAATGTAAATTAACTTAGGTAGGCTACTTGGGTACCGGGTTGTAATTTGTTGGTGGTACGGGAGGAACATTTTGGCAGTGAATATTTTCCCCATCATTTAAAAAAAATAAATAAATATATAAATAAAACACCTTACAGAAAGGATGCAATGAAGGAAAAGCATGCTCTTAATCATTCTTCATAATCTGATTCGAAGCCTACATGCAAAAAACTTATATTGCGCCGACAAGAACAAACTCTAAAAAGTAAAGTCTAAAGCGAGAGGAGTTATTGATATGTTATTAGTATTAGTTTTTAATATTAATGATCATAAACAAACCTGCGTTGTATAATAATCACCGTCACTGTGTCGTGTCTGCGAATTTTTTTATTTTTATTTTATTTTTTTCTCGTTGAAGAATAGATAATTCATGTTATCGCCATCTTCCCAGCCTGGTTTTCATCCACAGTTTCCACTTTTGTTTCTTCTCAAACAATAAAGTATCGCTATAGCAGGCCCGGCGCCAGGATGTCATAACTGAGGGCGAATTTTAATCCCATTGCACTTGACCTAATGACTGATTTTGGTCCTTCTTGTTCCTTTTATTTAGGCTATTTATTCACGTATTACTTTACATTACCAATATAGGCCTGCTTTTTATAGTAATAATAATATGCAGTTTCGCTATTACTGATTTTATTAATAAAGGTTAGACAACGGTACTGTTTACATCAGTGCAGACAGATCATGACTTAAGCACCAAACAAGTGGTTTTAAATAATATGTAAGTCTCCTTATTTCTTTCTGTTTTATTTTAAATAACAAAAATGTTTAAAGTTTTAGGTAAAAATATGCCCACACCTGCAAGCTAAACTAAGCTTCAGCAATATTCAAATATCTTTACAAATGAAAAAGAATTAAAGGATTAAAATATTTTCTAGCCTATAAATATAAAACTACTGCCTCCATGCCTTCTTCATTTTGGTGGGCTTTTTCAGTTTATTCATGAAAATTTGCTTTTGTACAATGTTATTATTATTAGCAGTTTTATTTATTACATGCATATTTATATTTGTTTTATTAAAAACAAGTTCAGATTTGCCCACCTGTCAGGTTTTATACCATATGGGGCACAGCATGTGTATTTGAATATAACTGAGTGTTTGCTGGAAATTAGAACTGAATTTTGAATCAGTTTTGAAACAAATCTTTGCGCTTAACATACTAAATTAATTATTTATAGGCTAATGAATGTCTGTGCGTACAACATGTTTCCTTATCCACGAGAGTAAAAATTAAAGTAAAGAACAAGGAGGCTCATCTCTCATTCTCGCGCTGTAGATGCTCTGCTTAAAGAGCCCATATTATACATGAAATAGGGTCATATCTTGGTTGTAAGGGTCTCCAACAACAGTCTAATATGCATGCAAGGTCAAAAAACACTTTCATGGTCTTATAATCTGCAT